GTCACCACTGATTCCAGCACCACAACAGCACATTATCAACAGCACCAATGTATTGTCGTCAGTAGTGTGTATTTCCTAGTGTAGTGGTGTTGGGAGTAGTGGTAATTTTTACCAACTTTAATATAATGGATTTCCGCAAAGTAACGCCTGATTCTATTAATTATCTATACAATATGTATGTTATAACACCGATTTCAGAACGTGATTTTTTTTTCTTTTTAGTTGATTTAATTCTGCTTTTACTTTTGTAAAAAGTTAAATTTTTATTGTATGTTCACAGCAAAATATAAGGCTCCCACAGACATAATATGGTACCAAACATACCATACATACTGTGATTGCAATTCTGTCTGCTAAATGTGGCGCCTATTTCAAATGTTTCCTTTAATAAAAGAATCCTATAAATGTTATGCTTAACCCTTTTCCTGTCCCATAAATCATATATGAACATTTCGATTGTGTAACTAATTTATTTCACGGACAGCACTGCACAACGGGAGCGTGCATTTCGGGATTCCGATTGGAGATTCCGAACACACAATAACATAAAATCTATGACCTGTCACACGTACGATACTTTTCCGTTCGAAATTTTGCAGTCAAAACGGGATTCCGTATGTGTATGGCCGGCCTTAACAGAGAACTTTCCGTTATACGAACTCACCAGACCTTTAGTTTTTTTTTTACAATAAAAATAATTTTTAAAGTATTCTATGTCAATTAAAAAAGCAAAAGTGCAGTGCCACTAAAAATTCATTTAAACTACTCAATTGAATGATACATTATTAGTAACAAATATCTGATTTTATCATAAAAACGTCAATATTGATAATTCAAAATTATTAAACGTTCTGTGATCTGAGTTTCGCAAACTCGTAAAATGTTCTTTGGAGCCGTTAACTGGGCTACAGCGGTCTATTCTTGTACCAAAAGCTTACAGAAATAATAATCGACAACGCACTAAAGTAAAATTCGATCAGAACTGTTATATTCCTCTGGAAATTAATTTTTATACTTTGAAATTGACTATCTTGGATTTGTTTGCCAAGTGTATCAACTAAGGAGAAATCTCCCCATGAGACAATCTATGAGGGAGGCCTATGTTCAGCAGTGGACTTTTATAGGCTGTAATGGATGGATTAATCTAGGATTTAGCATTTTAATAAATTTAAAATGCATACCAATTTGCAGTGGGATCATAATGACTGAATTCCTATTATTTAATATCTAGTCGATTTATTAATTATAATAATTATATTTTAGTATACATTTTCGAGAGATTTGTATAATATTGCATTTAAATATTATGAGCTGTTAAGTAACGAAATAGTTATTTAATTAAGCGATTGTACAATTGTTAATCTACATTTATTTAATACAGCGAGTCATTTTAAAACTTCGTGTATAAATGCACGTAAAATAATTAATTATTTTAAAATCGTTGTAGCTTCTCTAGAAATATCTAAAACATTTTAAAGGCATTTAGGAATATATTTAGATATTGTTATTGCTCAAATTTCTGCTTATAATTATTAGGTATTATCTTTATAAAAACTTAACCTGTTTGAACGAAGTTTAACGTCCAAACTTATTTTTTATGCAAAACAATTACCAGTCACAGTTGAGTTGAGTTGTTTTGTCTTGTTTAATTCACTAAAATGTCATATTGCGAAACTATAAATAGAATTTAGTGTTGTTTTATGAAAAATTAAGAATAAATAGAAAAATAAAAGATATCACTTTTAACTTGAGAATAATATATTAATTGACTATTTAGTTTGGTATGACAACTATAAATAATATTTATTATAATTCTATGTTAATGTTTGTATAGGTACTTACTATTTTTATTTAATTTTTATAGAATCTCTAGCAATGAAAGGAAATTTAAATAATAGTCACACACGCACACTTCAATTTTTTTTCTAGATGCACTTAGAGTTTTCCCACAAGTTTTCATGAACGTATTATGCGCAAGCGTTGCCGCTCGTGGCTTTACGACTCCGACCGTAGTCTGTACTGAAGAAAGTTCACACTAATGCTGACGCAACGTGAATATAAGTTCGTCCGTATAAATAATATAATCTTCTGTAATGCGTACAACTAAGGAATGGAATAATTTGCTGTCGTCTGCCTTTCCATCCGATTACAATAGGCTTTTGTTACGTTAAGACAGTGCGACTTACCATGTAGTACTTCACCACCACTTATTACCAGCTGGGATTGTAGTCAAGCACCAACATATTATAGGTAAACAAATAAATAAAAAACAATTCATTTTAAAATGGACTCGACTGATTTATATGAAATTTTATTGAAAAATTTCATATAAATCAGTCGAGTATCAAGTATTGACTTGTTTTTATTGCACAACATTATATCTTCAATAACCGGCAAAGAGTTCTCTATTGGACATGATCCTGTCTCATAGGACTCGCCATAATCACCAAGTCTGGCAACTGGCCTTGAGATCTATCTTGAATTTACCATTGACAATTCTCACGTAACCCACAGGACGAGAATGGGTACCAATTTCTTTATCATCAACCCAAAATTACCACTTCTAGACATGACCTCCTGTTACCAAGTTATCCAAGTTATACTTTGTGATAATTTTATTAGTTATATAAGGTCGGGGAAAAAGTTTCTTCGTATTTTATATACAAATTCAAGACATTTTTTTTTTCAAAGTTTAATTACATTTAATTATAATACATATGTGCCATTTTGTTTGATATCTTGTTGCCATCTTTTAGGTAGTAACATAATCTCGCAATCTCGTAAATTTTCCCCCGACCTATTATTAGCAATTTTAAAGGTAGTATCGATATAATAGTTAGTGCTATTATTTTATATGGTTAATTATTTTTCGCAATTACAGCTTAGTTATTTACTATTAGTTTTACGCAGTACGCCTTCTGTGTTAATCCATTACAAATATGTCTTAGTGGGTCAACATTTTTATTTAAAAATGACCTTTGAATTATCATTACTCACTTTTAAATTTATATTTTGTTTAAATTAAAAATAAGTTAACAAAAGTTCCGAATTTGTTCGTGCACGTGGAGCGAGCCTAGTTTGCCTGATGCAGCTAAAGCATGCTAAAGCGCACTCAAAGCAGCTTAATAAAAGCCTATTCACTTTTTTTTGCCTTGAAAACAAACCACATCTACCATTTGCCATTTTATAAAAAAAAACTTAAATCAAATTGATGAATTCATAGGATTTCTTTGTATTATTATGTTATTAAAGGTAATACCATCTACATGCATGCATTACGTGGTAGAGCCATGCTGCAGCTATATTAATTGTATAGTTGTAGCACGTATTGGGCAGCTCGACCGGGGAAGGACCACGCTCTCACAGAATACCAGCGTAAAATAGCAGCTTGGCGTACTCAGCAGAGCGGGACAGTATTTCATGCCGGCACACCGCCTGCAACTTTACAAGGCGCAGGTTCGGCCTCACATGAAATACTGTTCCCATCTCTGGGCAGGGGCTCCCCAGTGCCAGCTCCTTCCACTTGACCGCATCCAACGCAGAGCGGCTCTAATCGTCGACGACCGAGCCCTTTCCGATCGGCTGGATTCATTGGCACTGCGAAGAGATGTTGCTTCCCTTTGCATTTTCTTTCGCATCTGCCATGGGGGGTGCTCTGAGGAATTGTTCGGATTAATCCCAGCCGCCAAATTTCACGAACGCACATCGCGGCAGAACTCCCGATACCATCCACACCATCTGGATGATTGGCGGTCCACCACTGTGCGGTTTAGAAAATGTTTTCTTTCTCGCACGACTTCCTTGTGGAATCGATTACCATCAGCGATTTTTCCGGACCGATACGACTTAGGGACCTTCAAGAAAAGAGGCGTACTCCTTTTTAAAAGGCCGGCAACGCATCTGCAATTCCCTCCCTGGTGTTGCAGTTGTTCATGGGCGGCGGTAGTCACTTACCATCAGGTGAGCCGCATGCTCGTTTGCCCCCTCTCCTATAAAAAAAAAGAAAAGTTTAATGCTGCAGTGTTTCGTATGGTGAGTCTAGAGAACCAGAAACCCTTTTTACTGGAAAAGGCATTCCATCTTAGTCCTCACGGGTGACAACGCATTTTTTTGATTTGCAAACGAGGATAGATGTAGAAGTCTATGGGCCACAGCAACCACTTACCATCAGGTGGATTGTGTGCTCGCTTGTCACCATTATCTTATACAAAAAAAAGCATAAGTAGAAACCGGTCATAAATCGCATGTTCATATGTAATAAAAGAATTTTACATAATTATTATTTAATTTTCTTCATGTACAAACAGTTCAATAAAAATATAAATAAACAATATGTAAGTAAACCAATTTTTTTACTTCTTCGTTTCCCATAGTTCAAAACCACGCTTTATAATAAATTATGACATTTCCGTGAAATAAATAGGCAAAATATCTTTTGTGATTTAATTTTATACTTATTTTTTAAGTTAAAGATAGTACGCAGACATAGTTTATATTTTTTAGTTATGAGACAATGATATCTTCTATTATATTATATATTATATATACTGGACTGGGTATTTAACGTCTGGCGTAAAATAACCGGACGTAAACTACCTAGCCCAGGGACGGGGCCAAACCGCCTGCCATGCTTTGCGATTATGGCGACTTTGTCCTATAACTGGAGAAGCCCATGTCTAGCAGTGGACTCTTAGGTCTATTGTATTTGATGATAATAATGATGATATGTGTTTCGATTATTTTGTGTTTAAAATGCCTTGGAGTAATTTGTATTTTCTTTTAGACATTAAAACATGTAATCTACGTCCCAGAACACATTAACGTTTGCCATTACAAAAGAGCGCGGTTGCCGTTTTTATTTAGTTGGCACATCTCCCGAATGTTTAGTTGCGTAGTGATAATTATCTGTGGCTATTTTAGACGAGTATTGTGCTAGGAACGGTTCGGGTCGGGCGTGCCGAGCGCTCTGAAGTGACAGTTCCGTAACAAACAACAAAAGAATGGAATATCTGAAGCGAGAAATACCAACTTGCGAAGTCTGCCAACAGCCCGCTAACCAAACGTGCGGCGGCTGCAAGCAAGTGTACTACTGTTCAAAATCACATCAAAAACAAGGATGGAAGGAAGGTCACAAATCAAAATGCTACTCTTTCAAAATTCAATTTTCCCCGGCTCTAGGCAAACACATGATAGCTACTAGAGATATAAAACAAGGTGAAATTATTCTTAAGGAAAAACCGGCTGTAGTTGGTCCTGGAATGTCCTGCACAGCACACTGTTTGGCTTGTGGAAAGAAACTAACACCGATTGAGATAGAAGAAAAATTTGATTATTACAAATGCCCACAATGCAACTGGCCTATGTGTGGTCCTGAATGTGATAAATCTGAAGTTCACAAGAACGAATGTAGAATTATGGCAGACAGAGGTTATAAATGTAGTATAAAATATGAAAATGCAGACAAAAATGAAGCTGCATATTGTGTTATTACACCACTAAGAATTTTGTTAATGAAAGATTATAATCCTAAGCAATTTGAAAGCATATTAAATCTAGAATCTCATTTAGAGGATCGAAAGCAAACACAATTGTACACTTTATTAAAAACTAATCTGGTCACTTTTATTAAAAATGTCATTGGATTGCCTTTCAAGGACGAAACTATTTTGCAAGTGGCTTCAATTTTTGATACCAACTCATTTGATGTTAGATCACCAGATGGTACGAAAAGGTGTAGAGCAATTTACGTTATGGCTTCCATGATGAACCATAACTGCAAACCTAACACACGACATATATTCTTAGGAGAAGATCACAATTTGGTGCTACTCGCGACTGTACCTATTGCTAAAGGCGAACTTATCACTGCTACATATACTCAGTCTCTGTGGGGAACTTTGGATAGGAGGAAACATTTGAAGCAAAACAAATGTTTCGATTGCGAATGTGAGCGATGCCGAGATCCAACCGAATTTGGCACTTATCTAGGAAATATATATTGCTCAATGTGCAATGGACCATTTAGCAACAACGGCTTATCAAAAAGAGCTATGCTTATATCGACGAATACCCTAGAAGAAACTGCACCTTGGAAGTGCGAGAAATGTGATCACTATATTCAAAGCAGGCAAATGTTCTGGGGAAACAACGCATTGAAACAGGAATTGAATGGGCTCAATAAAACTGGTCCACAAGAGTTGGAGGAGTTCATAGAAAAGTACAATCTAACTTTGCACCCTACCAACCATTTAGTAATTCAAGCTAAATTAGGTTTGGCGCAAATTTATGGCAACTACAAAGGGTATACCTTGACAGGTTTGTTATTTTATCACATTTGTATACAATAAATTTAAAGATCTCCGCAAAAGTAGATTAAAAACTTTAGATTTGTAGATTGCAATGCTTCTATTTCGGTATCTCCATTAAAAATAAAATACTTCCGTTATTTGCCTTCAAAGTTTTTTAGATAAAAGATTTAGAATGATACGAGTGGTATTTTTCAGAACTTCCAGATAACCTGCTGAAACGCAAAATTGATCTCTGTGATGAGTTGTTGGAGTTGGCGGAGAAATTAGAACCTGGTTGGACTCGATTTCGAGCAACAATTTTGCTGGAGCTGCAAGCTGCTCTGTCAATGCAAACTAAACGAGAGTATGAAGATCAGAAGCTAACGAAAGAAGGTGCACAGGTAAATATTTTCTTTCATTATTAGTTATTAAAATGTTTACATTTTGTCAATAATTTGTTAGTTTTGACATAATGTTGCAAAATAAAGTAACCAAACGAATATAACAATAATCAGAAAATCCATCCATCAACTGAGACAAACCAGCGCAGGTTATAATTATAGTCTGACAAGAACACAGGTGCACTCTCTACTTCCTCACTGTCATAGTCCGATAGGACAGCACCCGACACGACCAGAGAGAAATCAGGCGCAGGACCAAAGACTTTACGTACTTTCCGACGCACGGAGGTAACACCACAAACATCCTGACATCGGACTGTTACTAAGAGTTTATTAACAAAAAAATCCAATAACTGATTTGCGAAAGTGAAAAGATTTTTGTTATGCGAAGTTACAGCACTTTTCTAACTTCGGCTACATGAGCGCTTATCTTGAGTTGGAGTATAAATGAAGCGCTAGCTTGACTTGTATTCAAACTCATATATATTTAATAAAAAGAACCTGAACTTTGAGCAGTTCATTGAGCTCAGATCCAAAACAGCTGTAAGGCATACTTCGCGCTGGGACAGCTGCTCACTTTTTATAAAGTGCAAGTCTGATTGTGTAAGGAGTGTTGCTGCAATATATGGGCTGAAACTGCGAAACGCTACCCCCAAGGTGACAAAGCATTTGTAGTTATCCTTGTTTGAGTTTGAGGTTTATTGCAGGTGTCCATGTTCTGTAGCAGCCATTTACTATCAGATGAACTGTAAGGTCCTTTGTCACTTCAGCTTTATAATAAAGATCCTAGCAACTTTGGACTCAATGAAAAGGCATGCAAAATAGTTTTTTGGTAGCCTCAATCTGGTTTAAGCTTGCACTAAGATTTTACTTACCAAATAAACCTTACTATTCTTATCTTACCAGTCTTGAGCTCTGACGTAACATAGCCAGCCTTTCGGTGTTTAATTTGTTTGGGACGATATAATATTTGTTATTACCTATATAAACACATATAAATAAAATTAAATATTATTGAATAAAATTGTCTGTCTTTAACATCGAATTAACCAACTTATATTAAGCACAAGGGATTAATTTCATTTTATTAAGAATTGAATAACACTTCACTAAAAGATAGAGAATAATGCCAGGAGTGATTTAGGCTACATATTTTATGAAAAACATGCAAACAACACATGTAACAGTTTTTTCGTATGAAATGGAAAAGTTATAAAATAAATGTTTTTTTTTTAATACTGTCTCAAAAAATATAGCAGATGTTAAAAAATCATACAAAACTTCTTTGGTTTATAACTTTACAATAAAATGGTCTTAGCACAAAATCCTTCAAAATGTAAATTCCTGCAAAGTTCATAATTATCAGTAGGTATTTGAAACGCTGCCAAATTTAGTTAGTAACTTCATTATATAAATATATTTTTCAAGACAGCGTCCTAAATTTTATTTATAGCAGTAGAAGATCTGAAAATACAATATTAAAATTATAAAATTTATACGCGGTAGAGCCATGCTGCAGCTATATTAGTAATATAGTTGTAGCGCGAATGGGTCAGTAAATTAAGGTATAAAGACAAAGAAGAATCGACACCGTTGCCTCAATGGATATAACATGACTTTGCGGAAATCCAATATTAAAGATGTTAATATTTAAGCTAAGATCCACATGAAAATAAAAATGATGTATATTACATTATTTGAAAAGCGCCTCTCTCTGTTCCCTTGTAGTTAGGGATTTATTTACACGATAACCGCATGGTGTAGTTAGTGGTTAATAGCTGATCACATAGATCCCCAATGAGGGCTAGTAATTTTCTGCTCACCAGATGTCGCTAGTTGACACCAAGGTAAAGTTTTTTGTAACACAATGTAACTTAATTGAGAAGTTGGTTTTTAATAAAAGTTTATCAGTTTCTAGAGGATTATATTAATACAGAAAATAATGCGTCAGTGGTTTGCTCTTTAATTTTTTAGACATTTTTTTAATTTATCTATTTTCTGAATATCTGTGGTTTGCTTTATTTATTTTTAATCTTATTAATATAAAATATAGCCAATAGTCCAGAAAGAAACAATAACAATAACATTTTCCGAAAAAAATAACTTCCCGGCTATGAAATCTGTCAAATATTATACGTGCGCGCCCTGGTGGCAGAAAAGTCGTGAATGCCCATTATCATTAGACCATAAGGGCGATATATTGAGGATGACACAAATTAAGTATACGACGAGCAACTATGCGTATATATATGAATGTTAAGCGACAAATGTGTGTCAGGATCATCCCAAATGGAAATCCGTAGTCTCTGCTTACCCCTCTGGGTGAAGAGTATGAGAGTTATGCTGTTTACTATCTGATCGAAATATAGTCGCAGAATAAGCAAGTTCAAATGCAAATACGAATAAAGTAAGAGAACGCGACTTAATTTATGAAATTTATTTCGAGGACAGAGAGTACAGCTTAATAAATATAGTGAAGATGATAAAGTTTTCATGCTGGTTCTTCCCAGCACAAAGGTTTTCTTCAGAACCGGTGACAAAAGTAAAAAATATTCTATCATTTAAATACACGTCTAACTATCGATGGAAGAGCTTTGATTATATAACAATATAAAAGGCTTTGATTATATAACAATATAAAATCAATACAGATCGCTATCGGGCGATCAGCTTGACCAGTTTAGCAAGTAAAGTTTACTCGAAGGTTTTGACACGTAGGATGCAAGAGAAATCGGAAAGATTTCTATGGGAGGCACAATGCGGATTTAGACCTGGAAGAGGATGCACGGATCAAATGTTTTCTCTCCGCATGATCACGGAAAAGCTTCTGGCTGCTAACCAGAAGATTTTCTGTGCTTTTGTGGATCTTGAGAAAGCATTTGATAAGGTTGTAAGGAAGAAAATGTGGGAACTGTTGCCGGGGTATGGTGTGGATGGTCGATTGCTAAGGGCTGTGCAGTCTCTTTACTGTGACTGTAAAGCCTGTGTGCGGGTAGGGCATGACCTGTCACCCATGTTTGACGTCCAAACGGGCGTAAAGCAGGGTTGTGTCATGTCTTCCTGGCTGTTCATACTGTATCTCGACAGCTGTTTACAGAAGCTGAAAGATAGTTGTTTGGGTGTGAAATTGGGTGACATTAAAGTAAATTGTCTGCTGTATGCTGATGATGCAGTGCTTATTGCACCATCAGAGGCAGAACTGCAGGCATTAGTCACGTGTATGAAAGAGGAATGTGAAATTAAAGGTCTCCGTTTGAATGCTAATAAAACTAAGGTTCTGGTATTTGAAAGGGACGAAGAGAGAACGAAGTGTGAAATATGGGTAAATCAGGAATGTCTAGAACAGGTAAATGAAATTGTATACTTGGGGAGTGCTTTTAGCCGGGATGGAAGATGTGATTTAGATGTGGACAGGCGTGTCGCTGCCGGGAACAAAGTCAATGGTGCCCTGACTGCGTTAGTCAAAAGGCAAGGCGTAGCGAAGAGTGCACGCCTTGCAATACATAACGCAGTGTTGGTACCGACTTTGTTATATGGCAGCGAAACCTGGGTATGCCAAAAGAAGCATAAAAGTAAGTTGAATGCAGTGGAGATGCGATCTCTTCGTAAAATGTGCGGCGTTACCATGGCCGACCGAAAGCGAAACGAAGAGATTCGCAATATGGCAGGTTTGAAAGATGACCTTATCACAAAAATTGATAAGGGCGTGCTTCGGTGGTTTGGGCACGTTGAGCGAATGAGTGAAGACCGAATGGTGAAGAAAATATATAGCGCGAAAGTTAATATTAAAAGGTGTCGAGGTAGACCGAGACTAACTTTCGAAGACCATGTGAGCAAATTGCTCGAAGAGGGTAGGGTCAAAAGTACTCGGATACCTAGACGTGCATGCATGAAGAAGATAATGAATCTGAAAGAAGCGAAAGAGGTTTGTAAGGATCGTGACACTTGGCGATCTGTTCTCTCTGGCTACCCCGTCAGGGATTGTGCGTGAAGATAAAACAAAAAACAAAAAACAAAACAATATAAATGTTATATAATCAAAGACGTAGGCCATAGACACGTCTCGATTAAGAATCAAAATGCTGAATTTTGTCACATGCCTCGTTAAAAGGATAAAATAGGTGAATCTCATCGCGCTCCATACGAAATATTTTTTTTTAATTTGATTTAGTAAAACAGTATAAACTTTCCACCACTCTTCCCTTATCCACTTCAAGGTTTATCTTCACTTATCCTTATATAAGAGATAGAGCCAGGTTTCAGCTATATCATAGTTGGAGCACGAATGAGTTGGCTCGACCGGGGAAGGACCACGCTCTCACAGATACCAGCGTAAAATAGCTGCTGTGTTTCGTATGGTGAGTGTAGAAAACCGGAGTCCCATTTTACTATAAATGAGGCATTCTATCTTAGTCTTCCGGGGTGACAACGCATTTGCATTTTCATTACTAATCGCGGAGTGATGTAGATGTCTATGGGTCACAGAATTCACATACCATCAGGTGAGCTGTGTACTCACTTGTCACCCTTATTCTATTAAAAAAAAACTAAGCTTAAATGTTTGTGCCAAACGTGGTACTGACAGTATTCAAATGACAGATTTCTTTATTTCAAGAATCCGTGCTCATAACAATTCTTAGCTTATGTTGTTTACGCTGGTATTCTGTGACAGGGTGGTTCCTCCCTCGATTACGTAATACTATAATTTATTCTGTGCCTCGATCGAGTCAAGTTGCACACCAATAATAGCACTCGAAGCTTGGCTTCGATGGCTACCAAGCGAGCAATGGGGCGTGATTGTGGTAATTTTTTATAACATCTAGGGGCAAGATGATGTTTTTGTACAAGCCCGTCATTTGTACCATCACGCAACAAAATCATTTCTTTTGTTCTTAAAATAATTTCTATTTATACCATTACAGGATCAGCTTATGCGAAGCATGGCCCTCCTGCAAGAAGCTGTAAATATTTTAAGCATTGAGCCTCATATGACTGAAATCTTAGAGGCAAAGGTCAAGGAACTGTCAAGTCAAATGGACGCAGCGAATAGTATTTGAGAAAGTTAATAAAAAACCTTTAAATTTTTTAATTTAAAAGACGAGAGAAGAAGAGAAAAAATTTAAAAGACCCAATATATTTATTATTTTAAAAATATTTAAAAATACACAAAAAATGAAGTCAAAGAGTAAGAGTTTCAAATAAATTATTTCATGCCGGTATTGTTCAGAATAATTACATAGGTCAGTACATTCTAAATTTGATTATTACAAGAAAAAATTTGAATATGCCAAGAAAAACCATGTATGTAAGTACAATTTTCAGATATATAATATGTATTTGTTTTTATTGGCTTCCCTTGAGCAATGTTATCATTCCTGGAATATGATATTCATTTGTTAAATCTCCATTGTTTTATTTATCGTATCTTTAATGTTTTAGCTATGGTATTTTATATTATTAATTATAATTTACGAATATATATTATTGTCAATCTTCAGCGGCGTAATTTTTGTCGGTTTCGTTGTGACTTCTTCAACTTTTGGTAAGCTGAGCTCCACAGTGTCCCTATTTATAAGAAGTATGTTTTTGATTACACGTGAAAATTTTTTATTCGGTCGTGGACTGTTTTCAATTACGAAAATTTTCGCCATGTTTTTATCTGGTGGTGGGCCATTCTTCATATTAAACTGCAAATAACAATGATGTTGGTGGGTAAAATTCTACCAAAAATATCATACTGATATAAACGTCAGTTAACAACAATTGTTTTATAGTAATTATAATAAATAAATAATAAATAAAATAACGTTTATTAGCAACCAAATTTTTCTAGATACAAAGGAGCTCTGTCTCCTGAACTAGGTTATCACATGTATCTCAGGAAACATTGCCTTCCCTAATTCTTAGTGCTAAGTCTATATTCGGTAAGTACATAATATATATATTATATCAAATGATTTTTCCATACTAAAAAGGGATTAGTTGATCGATCTCGCACGCTTAGTGAGGTTGCCAATTATAAATTAAATGTGATATATTTAAAAAAAAACAAATCACGAGTGGTCTGCGTGATTTGTTTTTTTTTTTGTTAATATATAAGAAGAGGCAAACGAGCATGCGGCTCACCTGATGGTAAGTGACTAGTTCTACATCTTCTGCTTTATCATCCCGTAAAAGAATATTACTAAACTTGGGTATCTTAGGTTATAGGGCTGGAAATCGCAGTACTCGACAGTTACACGACTCCATCGAGTCAGTAATCCATTCTTGGGGCGATGTATACGCTTTTACAACAAAATCCCAGAATATATACAAAATTTGACCTGCTCAAAATTCAAAATCTTTATTAAACAAAGTTTGTATAAAAAGGGTTATTATAATATTAAGGATCTTATGGATGATAATAAACGTTGGGAATTTAATTTAATTAAGTTAATTGTGTAACATATATGATTGTAAGCTGTTATTTTAAAAAAAAAAGTCCCGCTGGGTTTCTTGCTGGTTCTTCCCAGGACAAAGGGTTTTTTTCGAACCAGTGGTAACTAAACAAAAGAGTGACTTTCAAAGTATTATGCATAATCTCTATTGAATAAAAAAGTTTCTGTTTCAGTACCAGACGTAGCGCAATTTTTACGCCGCTGCTCTGGAATCTTTACGTCTGGCGTAAAAGATATGGTTATCTGCCAGTTCCCATAGTCCCCTCTTTCGACAACCGCAATATGAAATGGGTTGATAGATTCTTTTAAATCACTTTACGGTACTTTAACAGTGTTACTTACACTAGTAAATTTTAATTTGTAAATTCTTCTTAGATACAGGTTAATATCTGGCCGTAATCAATAAAGACTCTCCTGGCTGATTACTTCGTTGAAAACTTAATACTGACAGAAGTTATCAAATAGACAAGTCTACAGTTTTTTTTGTTATTCGACCTATCCATAGGACATGTTACTATGTTCTCATCGCTAAATTTTAGCCTCAACGGAGACTTACCGTCTGCACAGACAAAATTATAGTTATAGTGTGTGTACAAATACAGATGTACTCTCTATTCACTTACTTTCATAGTCCCATGGAAATGAATATCAAACACGTGAGTATTAGAAAGAACAGGTCACAGGACCAACGGCTCCTGCTTTCCAAGGTTCGGGAGTTAACCTTTCCAACTTCATGACTCCGGTGTGATCATTGAGAAATCCCCAACAGAAAAAAACCAAATAATTCCTAAGTAATTTTGACCCGACCATATGTTTGAACCTACGACCAGTAGATCAACCAGGCAGTCGATAGGACATATAGTATATGTTTAAATCTACATACCGTAGCACACACGCAGCACCAAGAACCAAACTTGAACCACGCGATACCTGGCGTTCTATCCATAGCTCTTCGAAATCTAATATTGGTGAAGCCATAGATAAGAGGGTTTATAGCACAGTTGAAGTATATCAGGTAGTTAGCGATGAACCACATTACGCTATAAGCGCCATCTACCTGTGAAATTAAAAATAATTTAGTAAATCTAAATCTACCGGTCTTTTAATTTTGTAGTTCATGGACAACTTGAGTTGGATCCCCGTTTTAAGTGTCACTGCCCCACGCATATATCGGTTCAACCTGGGAAGGACCACGTTCGCTCAGAATACCAACGTAAAATAGCATAATGGACATGTTTATAGGCTGTAGTAGCCACATATCACCAGGTGGACTGCAAGGACGTCTATTCACTTCAATTTAATAAAAAAATTGCCGCTGTGTTTCGTGAGTTGAGTGTAGAGAACCGCACCCTTTATAATGGTAAAAACATCACGTCAATAGGAAAAGCCTATGTCCTGCTGTATAGGATGCTGCTGGATAGGGATAATGAAGAGGTTTACCTCTAAAATTATAGTCATATTTAAACATGATTAAAAAAAGGATGTGCTTATGACAATTACGCTCATGCCGGGAGCCCAGTGACTAAATAAATAAAACATAACCTCAAAATCTCTATGATAACTGCTAACATCTATGTTTTCAGAAGTGTCCGTCAGGAGTTATTGTTCTTACATAAAATTATGTGTAATTTCGGACTTGAAAAGGTATTTTTTTCACTGTTGGTTCTTCGACGAACATTGTATGGACGCAGAACTATGTCATTTCATAGTACGGGTTCGATCAAAGCCGGCAAAAATGAAATCGTTGATTGCAAATTTAAGCGCTGATTTACCACGTGCTTGACGTGAAGACAAACATTGTAAACTGCGAGTCTAAGAACTAAAAAAATCGAAGCCTATCATGTCCACCAAAATTAAATTGGGCAGCGGTGCAAGGAAGTGCCTTACCCCTCGAACTCCCTCAGCAATTTACACTATAGCAGCATCATATGCTGTACTGTAAGTTCTTTACTTTTAACTTTTATAGCAACTTCAAATTCCCTTATTTTATAAGTGCGACGTCGTGTAAAAGGAAAATAATATCAGAAGTTGGTTATTTTAATAGTTAACATCTTATTCTAAACCGCTGCAGAAAAACATGCGTGAGTGTCGTGGAACACTCGGTTGGAACGAAGTTCCTTATTATTGATAAACGTATTATATTATTGATTAACAAATACAAGTAAATGTATTACTAGTGTCCATTAAAATGAAGCGTCATTTAAAATAAAATACACTATGACACAAGGGGTAGTGACGAAATAAGGAACTTCATTCCAAAAATACCGTAATATTAGCTCTTAAATCTCGTGAGATTTAAAAAAATATACCGAATTGATCTCCAAACTAAGATTGTTCCTCCAGTATACAAGAACCGTGTAAGGCATCCTGCAAATGGCTGCGGCTAGTAACACGCAAGCCGTGATCTTCATAGCCCTGCCTCTCACTTTGGTGACCATTTGACCGCCGCCACGAGAAGATAGCTCGCGGGCGCTCCACTCTAGACGCCACATTATCGTGCCATACTGAAACAAAAAATGAGCTCATATTTTTGATCGTTACCATCAATCACTAATAAAAAACTAGATACACAATCCCATGCAAAAGTTCTCTAAAAACTGTCGCCAATTGTTTTGACGTAGAATTAATTGAAATAAATATACATTAATGTAAATTCAACCTTAAATGCATTGCCTGAAGTTGTAATCATAAAGCAACGTACAAATTAAAAGCGTACCCAAATGTTCGAGTGGGCGCTCATTCGGTAAGGACATTTTTATCACTGATTGTGTATCTAGTTTTTATTAGTGATCGATGATCGTTGCAACTTTTAAAAGTATATAATAATTAGAATGATATAATTAGTATTCTTAATAATATTTTTTTTAATATTTTTACGATCATTGAACGGGCAGGTACTGAAGGTATACTGATACTGACAAGCTGTATAGGTCATTTCAAATGGAAAAGAAGTCAACGTTCTGTTGTTTTTTTAGGGTTTCGTAGTTACACAACAAGGAACCCTTATAGTTTCGCCATGTCCGTCCGTCAGTCAGTCCGCGGTTTTGCTCAGAGACTAGGTGCTGCAAATCTATAATTTGGAATAGTTCTTAGTAGTTATTCACATCAATCACGCCTAGAAAACTGTGGAGCAAAGTCTTAAAAAACAATTTTATTTTGGGTACTTCCCATACATTTAAATGGAGAATGATTATGATATTTATCCGTCTATTACATCATGTGGAGTATCGTCTTTCAAAAACAGCAGGGGTGTGGAACAACAGCTTTTCGATTCAGGGGTCCGTTCGCGAAATATTTAGCTTTAAAGTGGTACTTTTCATTAGTCATGCCTACTCCCCCATCTACCACCTAAACAGCTGTATTTGGAAATGTGAAAGTATACACTATAGCAGTATACCTATATAATGAAGTTAAAAGGAAAACTATCACAGCCAAGTAGAATTAAGAAGCTAACTAGTAATAGTCGACCAATTTATAAAATGCACTTGAATTAGTAAAAATTTCGTTACATCTCCATGACTTAAAACTAGCTGCATTATAACTTTGTAATGTTATTGTAAACTGTTAAAAATAAATATTTTATGAAGAAAACGACTTATATGCATTACTACTATGGCTTTACTTTTTCATTTGCAGGATAGGCAGGATCTTTCTTACTTACTTAATAATTTCATTTCTTTTTTAGTTGGTAGTTATTGTAGACCTCATTCAAAGTATTCATACAATCACATAGCCTTATACAGTTTCATTCGTCATGCTCTTTGTTTATGCAGGCGACCTATGAATAATTTAGGGTAGAGGTGGTTTATGTGAAGGTTCTTTACGGTCATATATGTATATCTTAGGGTTGCACTGCCGGGAATATATAGGTAGATAGCTATCTATGATAATTTTTGTACCTTAGCATGTGAATGACTTGATGCGAATTGTATTAGTTTCAAAATCGAAAAGTTTTTTAATCTTCTTTAAATACCACTCCCTATAAGTCTGATTTGAAAACAGGTCCTTCAGTTACGATCTTCCTATTTGGGCCCATTTTTAGTCGTTATAGCGGTCAAACCGCGAACTCACTTATTATGCTCATTATCAAGGAAGCCCACGTATTGTGATGGACAACTACGGAACCCTACCTCTACATTTTGCGTGGTCCCACACGCACTTGGCCAGTTTTTTTTTATTTATAGAATGCTGGTGACAAACAGAGCATACAGTCCACCTGATGGTAAGTGGATGCTGTGGCCCATAGACATCTACATTTATCCTCAATTAAGAATCAAAATGAATATGTGTTGTCACCCCTGAAGACCGAGATAGAATGCCTGGTTTCCAGTAAAAAGGGTCTTCGGTTCTCTACACTCACCATACGAAACACTGCTATGTTTCGTATGGTGAGTGCATTAAGCTAGTATTTTACGCTGGTTCTCCTGGTGCTCTTTCACACAAAGCCTTGCTAACTTTTAGCTCAAATTACCAAATCGGTTTCAGGGTCTACGAGTTTGGGAAATAAAATATTTATAGAACATGTTGTGAAGATCGTAAACACCCACTGGAGCGGACGTGTAATCCCTCCATATTTTCTTAGAAATGAGAGGTTGCTTGTGCCCAGTACTGGGACACATATATCCTGTAACTTTACTTTCCTTTTTACTATCTAGAAGTGTAAAATACTGCAGGTGATATCAATGACAGGCTCGTGGAAACCCTCCGATCTAAATTTGAAGGTCGCATAAGAAATGACAATAACACTCATTAATGTCATGGCTGTGATACATGAAATGAAACTACAGTCTTCCACTATAACGTATGTATTAAAAACAAAAATGTCCAAATATATGCATCCAGTCAGTTAGGCAATTAGAGTTATCTAGTAATAATAACGCGACTGAGATAATTCTAGGCTACAAAATGTTTACCCGAGGTCTGTTTACCGAAACAAGTTGTAAAATTAAAGATTAAATTATAATATAAATTAGTAAGAATACTCAAAAACACCAGTAAGTCAGACCTTGATCAACTGAAACTTTGGCCACATGAAAAGCACCAGCTATCAAATAAAAAAGAAATCATCGAAATCGGTTCACCTAGAAAAAAGTCATGAAGTAACACATATAAAAAAACCGGCCAAGTGCGAGTCGCACTCGCGCACCGAGGGTTCCGAACAAATCCGTAGGTATATAAGTTTAAAATTATTAAAAATATTTTTATTATATGACGTAACTAAAAATTTATGCTTTTCGCAATTTTTCCTTTATCTGTGCTATAATACGTTGCTTCGTACCAAAGAACAATGGCAGACTTTCATACATGAAATTAGTTGAAAAGAAATGGTAGCGTCTATATACCAAAAATATCTTAAAATGTTAAGCGTCAGTCCCTTAATAACTCTGTCAAAGAATTTTGTACTGAGAAGGCGTCAAAAAAAAGATATTTACATTTGAACCTTTTTAGGTTATGTCCTATGTCACTTGGAAAAAGTCACGCTTCCTGTGGTTGTTTGATGTTAGCTTAATACATAGTACATAATTGAGAGTTTTTAGATTATTGTATCTCTATTATATATTTACATACTATAAATGTATATTTCTGGCATGGCTCCAGGGCTTTTGTATCATAGTGACCTTCTCAGAAGGGCTAGAACTCAGACCCGTAAAGCTTGTAAAAAAAGCAGTGACATTTTATTTTAGTTGTTGAATTGTTACATAGTACTATGATTGAGATAATGTATTATTGTAGGAAATTCTTTGTAAGAGACTTATTTACAGCCATATCACTTTTATTTTTATTATTACTGATATTACAGTTATTACTAATAATAACTTAATATAAAAATATTTTGTGTGTTGTGTTGATAGTCTCACAAAGTGTATACGAAAATAGTATAAATATACTAAATGGCAACATTTGAATAGAGTAAAATGATTTAAGTCATTTGATATTCCCAAAAATGTTTGTTTTTTTCTGTGGCTTTAATTAAAATACATTTTTATTTGAAAAATCATAGAAAAATAATAAAACTCATTTTATATATAACTTATTTCTAGACGCTATAATTTTGGTCAACTATTTTTCTGCCATTGCTCTTTTAAGATTCTGAGTTCACGGGAATTGCGAGTGTCGAAAATTTGCGGCATAAACGGCTGTATCTTTTGATCGCGTTGGCTTATAAGTTTGATTTCTTCACAGCTCCACAGCAGGACAGTAGATTTGAGTATTTGATATGAATTTCAGCTTGATACCTCCACGCGTTCCCGAGAAAAAGGGTCTTGACAGACAGACAGACGGACAACAAAGTGATCCTTTAAGGGATCCGTTTTTTCCTTTTGAGGTACGGAACCCTAAAAATATACAGTCGCATTGAGTACGTCCTCCTTTTTGAAGTCAGTTAAAAAGGCTTTTGATAACTTTTAAAGAAAATGGATCTATTTCCTTTCTATATTAATCTCCAAATTTTCATAATTGCACGATTTTTCTTCTTTCACACAATTTTTAATCTTTTCCGTGTAAACATAACAAAAGAACAAAACTATTTAAAAGCTTATTACCTAGTTACAATTAATAGTGATGCATAACAATAGATGCAGGTACCTTTAGAAAAATGTCAAACTTACCGTTATAATCATTAGTCCCAATGGTAACCAGACGAGAAGAATAATAATGAAATGCCAGTAGACAGTCAGTACACTGAGGTCTTCCGCACAGTACATTTCCAAATAATTAATCCATTGTCGCATCTGCGAATAATATAATAAAGGATATATTTAAAAATGTGTTCTTAAACTAGTTTCCATTCCTATTTCCGCTAGAATCTAGTGTATATAGAAAATGTAGTAGATAAAGAAATGGCGGCATTTTTCGCGTTGATTATGATAATATTTCCGGTGTCTGATTTCGATCACGGGGATAGCTTTTGAATTGAACATTATTTTCATAACAGTTTTGGTGCAAAGTCACTTTTCATGGATGTTATACATTTCAGTTACAAGTAGGTATACAATAGTTGGAGATATAATCACGTAGACATTTAAGTAAGTAAATGATTCTTAAGGTTTTATTGTCCAAGCGAACCGTGATGAGCAAGTTGTTTGTAAGCTAAGTAATTTTAGTGAAAAGATGTTGGATATGCAATTGTATTTTCATCATCATCACCATTACAACCAAACTCGCGATACCATCCATACCATCTGGATGATTGGCGGTCCACCACTGTGCGATTTACGAGTAGAAGAAGTTTTCTTCCTCGCACAACTTCCTTGTGGAATCGATTACCAGTAGCGATTTTTCCGGACTGATACGACTTGGGGACCTTCAAGAAAAGAGTCTTCTCCTTTTTAAAAGGCCGGCAACGCATCTGCAATTCCCCTGGTGTTGCAGTTGTTCATGGGCGGCGGTAGTCACTTACCATCAGGTGAGCCGCATGCTCGTTTGCCCCTTCTCCTATAAAAAAAAATTACAGACACCACATCCACTGCTAAACACAGGCATCCTCATATATTGTCTCATAAAGGGGATATTTGCCTTCGCAGGTGGGTTGCTAAACGCACCCATCGGACGGTATAGGGCAGTGAATTATCTTATACAGGCGCTACATGGTGTGTTATTAATATCAATTATATTTTACGAAGAGAAAAATCAAAGAGCAATTCAGTATAAATTGTAATTTTAAACTTATTTATTGACAGTTTGTCAGTAAACTTTAAAAGTGGTAGAGCCATGCGGCAGCTTTTGCTGTCGCACGGATGGGCCGGCTCGAACCGGGGTGGTACCACGATCTCACAGAAAACCAGCGTGAAGTAAAGGTTTACCTCTGCGTTTCGCTTGGTCAGTGCAGGTGGCCGGAGGCCCTTTTTACTGGAAATGAGGCATTCGATCTTAGTCCTCACGGGTGACAATGCATCTACATTTTGATTTGTAATAGAGGATAAATGTAGATGTCTATGGGCCGCAGCAACCACTTACCATCAGGTGGACTGTGTGCTCGTTTGTAACTCTTATCCTATAAAAAAAACAAGTTTAAAAGTTTTATTAAAGAAAAACTGTACAAAAAGGGTTATTATAATATCAGGGAATACATGAATGAAAATAACCCCTGGGAATAAGGTGATCGCCACCATGCTGATTCTATGAAAATTCATTTAAAATTGTATAAACAAAATTATTTTTAAGTGAAATTATGTTTAAAAAAAATTCCCGCTGGGATTCTTGCTGGTTCTTTCCAGGACATAGGTATTCTATTCTATTCTATAATGATATATTAGAACTTATAATTTTTTTTTAAATAATGTTTGGTAATATTTCTAAACTACCAGCTTAAAAAATGTTAAACATATCTTGACTAGTAAGATCTATTATAATATAGTATTTTGAGGACAATTTTGATGGACTACCTAAATAAAATTCTTTCTGCACAGGTGATCACCTGGCACAATTCTATAAATTGTAATACCAACATAATACAATACCATTCCATAGTTTCATATGTATGTAAAATGACATTATCAATTGAAAAAAAAAAACAGAAAATGAAACTATGAACCAAAAGTTGTAATACTAATAAAGTATGTGGTTCATAAGAGTTATATAATTTTGAAAAATGTTTTGTATAGCGGAGCCGGAGTCTAACTTATTAAGTGGCAAAGCTTGCGAAGTCACTTATTGATTTCACGATGTCTGTCCGTCTGTCCGTCTGACCGTCTGTCCGTCTGTCCGTCTGTCCGTCTGTCCGTCTGTCCGTCTGCCCCACGATTATCTCGGGAACGGTTTTGAATTTTCAAATTCTGTTTTCAGCAATCGATTACTGATCACCCAGGCATCTGAACCTCCTATTTTGAAACTGATTGCTCAACGGCAACCGTTAGAAACCGCTACAAAGCTGATTGCTTCGCCACTTTGCTATGCTGTTAGCTTGCTAGGTTTATTTTTTTAATGTTCCTGCAATGAAACATGTAAGTAGATATGAGTACTCAACATTTTTGTTTGCGCACATACTTGCTACTCTATTACTTATCAAGTGAAGTTAATAATATCGCATATGATAATCAATTTACAAATAAAAATTATAATATTCGGTAGACGCTAAGGCCGAAATCACTATAAAAATTCTGAGATGCCTTTACTATACAATTTTTTCGTAAGTAATCAATATCTGCGATCTAAAATAAATATCCTACCACGAACTCCCTGTTTATACTCCACGGCAGAGAAAGAATAACTGCTATAGCCCATGATGCCACAATCAACTTCGGAGCGGCAGCTTTGGTGACTCTCGCATCGGCATTCATTGCTGCAGCCGCTAGTCTATCGTAGGAGACCAGCATCACAGCCCCCACACTTGCTAGAAGGAAAGTAGCTGTAACACCAAAAATAGAATTAATTGGAAGGTGGATTATTCTCTATTGTTATTATATCTTCTTCTTTGTGCACCTTTTAGAAATCAGTCTCGATATTATTTAAATAAATGGAATTTTTCGCAGTATAAACTTGTAGGTTATAATAATTCATAGAACACAGTCAAGTAAATACAAAATAACACCAAAACACATCAAATGTGCAAACCAATAGCAACACCAACACTCACACCAACTTTTCTTCCTTCCATAACGTAGATGCTCCCGGTTGGTTACCATTCTTATATTATAAAAATGTTTACCAACAACTTTCGGAAGGTAGTCAATACAATGACTTCTAGAAACTAAAAACATATAATACGATTGCTTTTAAAAATATACAATCCACATTTATACATGTTATAAATATGTAGCTATTCTATAACGCCTGAAAGAGTCCACTGCTGGACGTGGGCCACTCCCGTTATAGGAAGTATTTCCCTGAATCGTGACGCTTGGCAGGCGGATGGTCGATATCAATGCCAGACGTCTCGCACTTTGATGTTGTAGACCATCGTGGGTGTGAATATTTTCCATGTGACGTAAAAAAATGTCTTTAACGTCATCTAGCAGAAGTCAGAAGACTTTTCTGACATTTCCTATAGTCGCCATTTAGTGAGTGTCGCTCAGAAAGAAATCACCGCGATGTATTGAAATTTATAATTTACCTTTTATTATAATAGCTACTGATATTTTTATCGACAAGGAAACCTAAAAAAGAACTGTTTTTAGTAAACACTAAACAAATGAGACTTTTTATATATAGGTATTTTTTTAAATGAATACTCAGCCATTTGTTTTATACCACGAGACATTTCATACTTTTCTGTAAGTCGTTTCTACAAAACTTACGTGACAAGATGGAGGATGAATTCCTTTAGACAACCATCATACTGATTGATCATTCATTCTTGTCGTCGTATCGTATGATGTTATGATGTGGTTTTGACTGCAATTATAATGAAAGATAATGCTTAGGTCCCACAGCCTGTTCCATCGCAGGCCGCGCCATGTGCACTATCAACCTGTGCCTACAGCCTATATGCATATAGCATTCTTGGTCTCCATAACTTAATTGACATTTTGACGCTGTCTTGACGTAATAGCTTAGCATTGAATTGCTGCATGTGGCATCCAACATCCGGCACGGAACAAGTATTTGCATTGCCTACAAATAATTTATTTCCGGTACCGGTAGATAAAGTGGCGACCTGGTAACACATGCAGGAAGTCGATGAATTCCTATATTCAGCAGTGGACTTGTAAAGTGTAAATTGCCCTTACGATACAAGAGAAGTTTTAGTGTAAAGCAAACATTTAAATATACGCTTAAGAGAAAAGTTATAATGAACAGGCTCATTCATTTACCTTGCAAAAACCCTTCGAACTTGCAACCGAAGTTCCTCAACACGTAATTTTGGTAGAAATCTCTAACGAGCATGAACCATGGGCACACGACCAAGGTCAACAAGTCTACAAGCGCAAGGTTCCCAACGAGGTAATTGCTTGCGGTCCAGAGCCATTTGTTCTTTATAAGGATGGCTATAATGACAGTGTTGAGAAAGATGCCCATGATGCCGACGACTAGCATTGCTGAAGATTTTAAAGCTATTTCTTTCGCCGACTTCACGTGCCATAGTGTATTCGGAAATGGGAATACGGATGTGTCCATCTGTAATAAAGATTATTTATATATTAAGTTTTATTTATATAGAACTAGCGATACGCCCCGTTTGCGCACGTGTGATTTCTATAACTCGACAACAGCGCCCCCTACCGAGTCCAAATGTGAATCTAAACTATGTAGGGACCCATTCAACAACACACACAAAATAATTTATCAAAATCGTTCGAACCGTTTTCGACTTTTAGCGAGACTAAAGGACAACAATTGATTTTTATATAGATAATACTAGCTGACCAGGCAGACTTTGTCCTGCCCTTTCTGACGACCATTTGCTTTCCTAAAAAAAAACTCCTGAAATTAGCAATAAAAGAAATTGAGGGTCACTTATCGGGATAAAAACTATCCTATCTCTCAAGTTGGACCAAACTGCACACATTGTGCAAAATTTCATTGCAATCAGTTCAGTAGTTTAGAAGTTCATCGCGGACATACAATGTGACACGTAATTTTTGTAAATAAAGATTTATATAGAACTAGCGATACGCTCCGACTGCGCACGGGTGATTTCTGTATATCGACAACAGCGCCCCCTACCGAGTCCAAATGTGAAACTATCTATTCAAACACACACAAAATATTTCATCGAAATCGGTCGAGCCGTTTTCGACTATTAACGAGACTAAAGGATATTGATTTTTATATACATATAGAGATAGATAAGGGTGACAAAGGAGCAAAATACAGTCAAGTCTTCGTAGTGTTATCACTGCCCTGAGGTTGACTGGCAGAGAATGCTTTTAGCGCTAAGCAAAAGCAACCTTTTGATCCTATACTGCTTGTAAGATTTAATAAAGATTAAATGTATAAATAAATAAAGTCCACCTGATGGTAATTCGTCCTTAGACATCTACATCTGTCCTCGATTAAGTATCAAAATGCAGATGCGTTGCCACCCCTGAGGACTAAGAGAAGGTATTCTATAAGAGCGTGGTCCTTTCCTGATCGAGCCGATCCATTCGCGCTATAAACATAATATAGCTGTAGCGTGGCTTTACCACGTATAAATAGTTTTTTTTTAAGTTTAAAAATTGTAGGTATAGTTTTTCTCTTCTAAATAATAATAATTATTATGCCCCTCAGCCGAACTTTCATCAGGAAGTCTTCCTTTGTCAACTCCTGTCTCAAGCACTGGTGCAATCTATATTCTCTCAGTCTCAAAATCCAATGGGATGGTAAACTAACACAACCGGAGAGAGAGCAGGCGCAGGAACAACGGCGTTACGTATTTTCCGAAGCACAGGGATGAAACAGCGCCAAATTCCTGAATAATTTTCGCCCAACCCTGGATTGGGGTGACAAACGAGCACACAGTCCACCTGATGGTAAGTGGTTGCTGTGGCCCATAGACATCTACATCTATCCTCGTTTGCGAATTTAAATGCAGATGCATTGTCACCTGTGAGGATTAAGATGGAATGCCTCGTTTCCAGTAAAAAGGGTCTCCAGTTCTCTACACTCACCATACGAAACACAGCAGTGTTGAGCTGCTAATTTACGCTGGTATTCTGTGAGAGCGTGGTCCTTCCCCGGTCGAGCCGACCCATTCGTGCTATGATTATACTACTTATACAGTTGTAGCATGGCTCTACCACGTAAGAAGTAGTTCTACGTCTAACTAGTTCTAGTTATTTGCAACACGCGTTAGAGTTCTTGGGCGCAAACTTAATTATTCTGTGCCATAAAAAAGTACGTGTCTCCGACCACGCGTCCCACACTGCCGCGCAGATTTTGTTCACGGCGTTGGCACAGAATTAATAATAGTTATACGTAGTGTCGATTCTAGTAATTAGTAAGTACATATTTACTTATTTCAATGGTATATTAATTTTATTTACGTCAGGCGACCTGCTGCAAAATCAAAGGTGCAAAACATCAGATACTGCGATCGTCACCTATCATCGATACTTGCCAAGCGTACGTAATAAAGGCAAATCCAGCAGAGGAAATTTTCAGGCTAATGTAGATATTGCCTATTATAATTAGAGATTAAGTGTAGGTGTTAATTTGTAGGAATATGTTCACTGTCCAAATTCCTCTAAAATAAATTACAAATTTGAGTATTTTGTAAAAATGCATTTTTTATCATAAAAGAGTGCCGAATGAGCTATGAGTTCAATTAGTGAAATGTAACTACTGCAGAAGTAACTATGAAGAAGGCTATATGCTCTCTGCTTGATAGACTTAAAAATGAGCATATCCGCAGTAAAACCAAAGAAACCGATATAACCCAACGGTTGATCCGTAAGCTGAAGTCGCAATGGACTGACCATATAGCTCGAAGAACCGGCAAACCAATGGGAAAGAAAGGTTCTCGAGTAGCAGCCTCGTACCCGTATGAGCAGTGTAAAGCAGCTCCCAAATAGATTGAGTTATGACCTGTTACGAGATGAAGGATTTCCATGGATGCAGGTGGCTCTGGACCGAGCATTGTGGCATTACTTGGGGAAAGCCTATGTTCAGCAGAGGACTTGAAAGGCTGCAATGTATATAAGAGTAATATATGTAACTACGTGCACTTCTACCGTGAACAATTGCAACCGAATTCAAACTAGTAAACGACAGTTGTATTGTTACCCCTAAGACTTCTTCGACGGTGTTTTAGGCTTACTTGTGCCCTAAAAATATTTAAATAAATTAAGGTATAAGATAAGGGTCTATGGGTTCGCTGGAAGGAGTGCATTGGTTCTCTAGAGTTTTCCTGGCCTAATGAGAGGTGGCATTGGTGAGGACTGTTCTGCTTTCAGAGCTCGGCTCAACTGCCAGAATGAGGTTTGAGATGGCTCGATATCCTCCAGCAGATAAGTTTATTTTTATTAGAATGAATAGACAAACGCCTATAATGCCAAGAATCTATGCAACCAACTATAAATAAAAAGGACCGGGATACGTTGTTCCTCGTGAGAGCAATGAAATATTTCATTGTCTTTTTCTTATAGAAGAGGGGGCAAACGAGCATGGAGCTCACCTGATGATAAGTGACTACCGCCGCCCATGAACAACCGCAACACCAGGGGAACCAGGAGAATTGCAGATACGTTGCCGGCCTTTATCTGTAACTATACTGGGTAATTTATCCTTCAAACCGAAACACTTCGGTGAGTGGACCAGTGGTGTATTTGTAGGGTTCGGCATTTTGGGAATAAAGAGTCAGCTCTGAGAGATTCTTTAAATAACGCCAGTAAAAATCTCAAACATAGCTCTTTCCGAATGCTTTTGATTCAAATATAACGAACACTAGCATTGAAAGTTCTAAAAATAGAAATAAATTTGTACTCACCTACGCACGTACACCGCACGTGCCTCACTTGTATTTTTGGTATATTTTATTACTTTCGTCATGTCAAATATAGTAAACATGTCAAAATAATGTAGTATACAATAGAAGAGTACGCAGATTCTGAACTTATGGTACTCAATTTGGTAAATGTGACAATATCTACACAAAAATACAAGAGGCGCGCGTTTTTAACCGACTTCAAAAAGGAGTATTTTTGTATGTATGTTACGCGATATCTTAGCAGATTGTGAACCAATTTTCGTGATTCTGATTCTTTTTTATTAGATAGGTTATAATTCAAGGCTGTTCCAATATAAAATGATAGCAAAAATTCGACCCCTAAACGTAGTAAATAAATAACTTCTTTTTCAATTATTATAAATTAGGCGATCTCTACACTTGCCAAGGATAGGTTTAAAATTAATAATATTTATTAATTATATTAATAAATACATAATATTTTTTCACAAATTTTTAAAATTATATTCTAAGACTATATAAAACTTACACTGACTTTATGATTATTAAGATAGATCAACTTACATTATTCAATTCATCCACACTCCAGTTTGACCAGTATCTCGAGAAAGTTCTGAAGTCATGGTCATGCATTGCAACAATCCACATTTATAATTAAAAAAACACTAAGACATAAAAAATAAAAGCTTAGTTTATAAACGACTGATAAGAAACGACGACTATCGCTTTCTCCCTCTATTTTCCCGCGGGTTCATCTATTCGACTAATTAATACATATCTCTTCAAAAGACTAGGTGACATTACAGCAACTTTAACAGAATTACGGGAACTGTTCTTTTGTTCAAGCACTAAAATGTTTTATATAAGTATATATTCATAAAAGCTTTTGAGATACGGAACGGTAGTCCATTATACAGAAAGGCTTTATCGTGATACAGTCAGACTGATAGTGTGAAGGTTGACATGATAACGGCTTATCGTCTAATGGTGTTTTCAATTCATCGAAAGTTTACATACTGATTTAATTAATTAAGCACTCAATAAAGTGAAAAAATTCACCAAAGGTTTTTTTAGAGCGAGTAGCTATAATAATGGCTTCCAGACCGTCACGGTCACGGCGCGGTGGCCCAGTTTTAACGAAAACTAGTCATCTGTGTATGACAAATTATAGTGCCCTGGTGTATGCGCAAGCACAGGTACACTCTCTCTTTCTTTACTCTCATAGTCCGATGGACGGTAAACCGACAGGACCGGAGAAAGATCTGGTGCAGCTTTTACAACGGTTTTACGTACTTTCCGAGGCGCTGGGATGATATCCTGATGATACTTCTTTGATTTTTAAACTTAAACCTCCATCATTTAAATGTGACGAAGTAATTCTATATCAAAATTAGTGCATTGGTTTAACGTTAATAAACTGAACTTAAACGGCAATAAAACTTAATGCGTTAAATTTACAACACCGAATGTTATAAATCTGAATACAAATTTATTTTTAATTGAGGAAGAACTGAGCTCTGTTGAATCATCTGTTTTTCTTTGGCATCACTCTCGTTGCAAAGCTTCAATGGGGTCCTATCGACACAAAATCTTAGCCTGTACTTATATGGACAACACAATAAACTGCTGTACGAAATTAGCCGCAGTCTTTGTCACATTAAGATCTCTCTTCGTTTGAAGAAAAGTTTTCCTGTCAAGACTATACTAACACTGCAAACACTTATAATGCCCATTATTGATTATGCAGATGTGTGCTATCCAGATTTGAAGTAAAATCTTCTTAACAAGATAAACTTATATACATAATATATAGGTCTCTGAAAATATGATCACATTATCGTGGTCGCCCGAGATGGCTCACTATCTGACAAAGACGAAACTTTTTTTTTTTTTTTTATAGGAGAGGGGGCAAACGAGCATGCGGCTCACCTGATGGTAAGTGACTACCGCCGCCCATGAACAACCGCAACACCAGGGGAATTGCAGATGCGTTGCCGGCCTTTTAAAAAGGAGTAGACTCTTTTCTTGAAGGTCCCTAAGTCGTATCGGTCCGGAAAAATCCCTGGTGGTAAACTATTCCACAAGGAAGTTGTGCGAGGAAGAAAACATCTTCTAAATCGCACAGTGGTGGACCGCCAATCATCCAGATGGTGTGGATGGTATCGGGAGTTCTGCCGCGATGTGCGTTCGTGAAATTTGGCGGCTGGGATTAATCCGAACAATTCCTCAGAGCACTCCCCATGGTAGATGCGAAAGAAAATGCAAAGAGATGCAACATCTCTTCGCAGTGCCAATGAATCGAGCCGATCGGAAAGGGCTCGGTCGTCGACGATTCGAGCCGCTCTGCGCTGGATGCGGTCAAGTGGAAGGAGCTGGCACTGGGGAGCCCCTGCCCAGAGATGGGAACAGTATTCCATGTGAGGCCGAACCTGCGCCTTGTAAAGTTGCAGGCGGTGTGCCGGCATGAAATACTGTCCCGCTCTGCTGAGCACGCCAAGCTTTTTAGAGGCCAATTTGGCCTTCTCTTCCAAGTGACCACGAAACTGCACGTCACTCGATATGTCGACTCCGAGGATACCGATACTGGCTGAGGCAAGAAGGGGAGTGCCTTGAAACTGAGGAGATACGACAAAGGGGTTCTTTTTAGCGGTAAACGCGCAAACTTGTGTCTTCTGAGGATTAAACTGGACTAGATTTAGTCGCCCCCAATCCGAGACTTTGTCCAGCAAAGACTCGACTTCAGACACAAGTTTGTTCCGGTACTCGGCGACGTTTTCCCGAGAAATATTGGCCCGGCCGGTGTATAGAGCATCACCAGTGCTGTCATCCGCATAGCAATGAATGTTACCAGTTAGCAACATATCATTGATATGCAGAAGAAACAGCGTTGGTGATAGCACACAGCCTTGTGGAACACCAGCGTTAATAGGCTTGTAGTCAGAACATGCACCGTCTATAACGACCTTGATGCTCCGATCTGTAAGAAAGCTGGTGATCCAATTGCACAATTTCTCGGGAAGCCCAGAAACAGAAACTCTAGAATTCTGCTTGTACTTTTCTCCATTTTGAATAATCCCATTTCTCCATGCGTGCGTGCGTGCGTGCGTGCGTGTGTGCGTGCGTGCGTGCGTGCGTGCGCGCGTGCGCGTGTGCGTGTGCGTGTGCGTGTGCGCGTGCGTGTGCGTGTGCGTGTGCGCGTGCGTGTGCGTGTGCGGGTGCGTGTGCGTGTGCGTGTGCGTGTGCGTGTGCGTGCGCGTGCGCGTGCGCATGTGCGTGCGAGTGCGCGTGCGCGTGCGCGTGCGCGTGTGCGTGCGAGTGCGCGTGCGCGTACGCGTGTGCGTGTGCGTGTGCGTGCGCGTGCGCGTGAGTGTGTGCGTGTACGTGTGCGTGTGCGTGTGCGTGTGCGTGTGCGTGTGCGTGTGTGTGTGCGTGTGCGTGTGCGTGTGCGTGTGCGTGTGCGTGTGCGTGTGCGTGTGCGTGTGCGTGTGCGTGTGCGTGCGCGTGCGCGCGTGCGTGTGCGTGTGCGTGTGCGTGTGCGTGTGCGTGTGCGTGTGCGTGTGCGTGTGTGTGTGCGTGTGCGTGTGCGTGTGCGTGTGCGTGTGCGTGTGCGTGTGCGTGTGCGTGTGCGTGTGCGAGTGCGAGTGCGAGTGTGCGTTCGTGCGTGTGCGTGTGCATGTGTGCGTGCGTGTGTGTGCGTACGTGCGTGCGTGCGTGCGTGTGTGTGTGTGTGTGTGTGTGTGTGTGTGTGTGTGTGTGTGTGAGCCGGGGCGAATCGCTAGTATAATTTATAAGATTATCATTCCTTTTCAGTTCACCAATAATTCCTTTACTATTTAAGCAACACTACTCCGGGACTCCTTATCTGAAAACGTAAGAAGAGCGCTAAGTAAAGGCTGTTAGAAGATAGTAGGCTTCTATTTGAAACAAACCGATGTTGGACGTTAAGAATGATGTTGATAATTTAGATTTTTTATTAATTGCAATTTTAATAAATGTAAAGTATATGTATATTATTATATTATGTATGTATTTACATTATATGTATAATATAATAGATATATTAAATTACTTTTACAAGTACTATATTCAATTTTAAAGGACCCAAATTCTCTTTCTTATCTTAAGGATAACTTTCAGTACCTTATGAGAGTTCCCCGTTCCCAAAATAGTCTTAAAATTCGTATTCCACGAATTTTAAGCATTCCAAATAAAACCAGTAACAAACATTATTTTAAAAGACTAGTTCGAGAATTCTGTAACAGGAATAATACCACCTGATTTATCCGACTTTTGTTTTTCTCCCTCTTTCGCTTTGTAATTGAGGTTTTGTACAATATGTATTTTAATATGCTTCAGTTATTTTATTTTTGTGTTATATTATTTTATATTTATTTAAAGATTTTGTATATTATATATAAGTATCCGTTTATATATTTACTATTCATTCATTCTTAATTACAAAGTAGATATTAAGTTTGTATATTTTATAAATATTTTATTTATTTGCTTTTTGTTGTAAGATATAATCTTTTTACTTATTTATTAATTTATGGAGTGGTGTTGCACCTACCACAGTTTCTCACATCATCCAGGGTTGACTGGTAGAGAATGCTACAAGGGATTAAGTCCGCCCTTTATATCCCTTATTATAAGGTACATGTAAAAAAGATTAAATAAATAAAATAAATAAAAATAAATAAATATGTTTTGTTTATATCTTAACATACTTACACTATATGTATAGATTTTGTATATTATATTTATATTTTATATTATAGTGCGTATGTATGTAATTGCACTTGCCACATAATCTCATCACTCCACGGTTTGACAGAGACCGCCGAGAGAATGCCGATAGGCATTAAGTCCGCCCTTTCTTACCCTATTTATTTAGGGTTAAAAATAAAGATTAAATAAATAAATAAGTTAATAAAAATTCAATAACTGATTTGGCCTGACCCGGAATTTAAACCTGCGAGCTTATGAACAGCAATCCCAGTTGCGACCACTAGACCAAAACTAGGCAGTGTAGCATAAGATATAGTTAAAATAGTTTTCAAGACCTGACCTCTGAAGAATATAGGATGGTGATGTCGAATGAAGGATGTGGCATTTATTTTATTCTTTTTAGTTAGTAGTCTTGAGTTAAGTGGGGTTTTACTTTTTAGTAGTACTTTTAGAGATGTAATTTCTTCGAATTATATATGACCACGCCTGTAATATTGCACTGTAGGTACAAACTGTATTTTAGAGTCATTAAAATTCATAATTGAATTATATAACATACACTCGAATAATTGAGACCCACCTCCTTTTATTTGAAGTCGATTAAAAATGAACGAAATTTAGATTATTATATATTACATAGATTTAGATTTATTATAAATGTGAAATTGATACGTTGCCAATCATTTGTATAGTTTTCTGTTATCATCAACGATTGTATAAACTGGTAACACGACAACTGTGGTGGTGGCGAAATAGAATCCGTAGCCCCATTCATAGATAATACATACATACATACATATAATCACGCCTCTTTCCCGTAGGGGTAGGCAGAGACCACTTCTTTCCACTTGCTACGATCCTTACATACTTGTTTTGCTTCGTCCACTTTCATTATTCCCTTCATA